GTGCTGCTGGTTTTCTTGTTCCACATAATTTTCTGCACTGAGTTCATTTGGCTTGTGGGTTTTCTTTTCATTTTATTCATTTCTAATGTATTAATGTTTACTAAATCATTCTTGTTTTCCTCTCTATTTTGATGTGCAGATGTATTATTTTCTCAGGTTACCCTGTAATTTGTTAAATTTCCCAATATTTAAAACAGTCTATTTTATCTTGAAATCTGCTTGATTTCCCAACCATTTGAACGTTCTGTATCTACACGTTCCCACTTTTTGCTTTGTGGATGACTTCATTATGAATTGGTATCTCTGGTTTTCTAACTCCAGGTCCTTTGCACGTTTCATTATAATATTTAACTTTGTCTTCTTGAGTTGCCTTTTGAAATTTTCTATTCATCTCTTAAAAGCCTCATTTCTTCCATTTGTATTAGCATCTCCATGCTGGAAAGCAATTTCAGAGTGTCCCTTCTGATACCCATTTTGGACTTTTCCTTCATTCTTGTCTTCTTAATGACCTTTTGCTTTCTTCATGTATGATGTTCTTGATTTCATCCAACAGCTCTTCTGGTTTTTGGTCATTAGTGTTTAATGCATCAAATCTGTTTTGAGATGATCGCTGAATTCAGGTGGGGTATGTTCAAAGTCATATTTTGGTTCTCGAGGACTTAATTTTAATTTTCATCAGCTTCAGCCTGAACTTGCATAAGAGCAATTGATGGTATGTTTTACAATCTGCCCCTGGCCTTGTTTTGGCTTTTCCCACAGATGTAGTCAATTTGATTTCTGTGTTTGCCATCTGGTGAGGTTCACTCATCTTTTGTGTTCTTTAAAATAGGCATTTGCAGTGAATAAGTCATTGGTCTTGTAAAATTCTATCACGTGATCTCCAGTATCATTTCTGTCACCAAACCATATTTTCCAACTACTGATCCTTCCATTTTGTTTCCAACCTTTGCATTCCAATTGCCAGTAATTATCAATATACCTCTTTAATTTCATCATCAGTAGCTTAAATGGTTGGTGTGTAAATTTGAATAATAGTGGTATTAACTTATCTTCCTTTTAGGCTTATGGATGTCATCCTATCATATACACCATTATACTTCAAGATAGATCTTGAAATGTTCTTTTTGTTGATGAATGCAATGCTATTCCTCTTAAATTTGTCATTTCCAGCATAGTAAGCAACATGATTGGCAGATAGAAAATGCCAGTAAAAGTCCATTTCAGCTCACTAATGCCTACAATATGGATGGATCTTTATTATGTGTTCCATTTCATTTTTAACGACTTTCAATTTTCCTAGATTCATACTTCATATATTCTGTGATCCAAATATTAATGGATATTTACAGCTGTGTCTCATTTTGAGTTGGCTCCCCATCATTCAGTAAAGTCCTGAAAGCTTTACTCCATTTGTGTTTTCATGTTTGACTCTACTTTGACCTGAAGGCTCATTTTCCAGCACCATTTCTGTCAGATTAGTGCACTATATTGAAAGATCCAGTGTTTGAGGAATAAAAGAGAAGTTCAATGTGGTAAGTGATTAGTGATTAGGGGAGAGTGTAGTAGTATAAGGTGAGGCTGAGTGGGGATGGCTATATAAGAATTCTAATTTTATTCCGTGACCAGTGAGGACCTATTGGAACATTTAAACAGAATTAATTTATGGTAAGAAGTATTATTTTTTAGAAGTTTATTAAAATTCAACAAGAACTGATCAGCATCACAGTAGAAGGATGATGAAAATTGCTGGTTTGTTTTCTATTAGTCCTTCCTTAGGACACTAGAAGCTTGCCAAATGGTCAGGTCAGTAATTCCCAATAGTTTAACTTAAAATCCTATCCTAAGGTGATTATTTTAAAATAAATACCTTTGAAGCTTTTATAATATGGAAGCATTATGATAAATGTATTTTATATTAAGTTGAAATTAATTCTAAAATAGAAAAGAAACCCTAAAAGAAACCCACTGGAATGTAGTAAGTTTTATTTTACTTTTACTGCTTCTATCTGATAGTAAATTATTAAAGAGATATGTATTGAGAAACTACTATGTGTCAGGCACTGTTCTAGGCACTTGGTATACATTGGTGAACAAAACAAAGATCCTTATTTTCCTGGAGAGGAGACAGATTTTGTTGATTGTTTCAGCAGCCATTGTTGGCCCTCATCCTTGTGCTGCAGGAGAAAAGACTGCTAAGGTGACTTTGTAATATAGAAGCCAGTCTTGAAATATTGTGATACTGGAAGGAGAATGCAAATAAATTTTTCCAGAGAATTTTAATCAGTATTTTCATTTTAAATGTTAAGTCCATTTTAATTTTATGTTAGTACATTAAAAAAAGGAAAACATAAACATATCCTAACATTTTACTACTCAGGCTGAAAAGCAAGTTGTGTAAGTCTCCAACTTATTCATAATTTTCCAACTTAAAAAGTCTTCTATAAATTTCAAGAATGATGCATACATGAAACCTGTAAGAATCAATAATTGATTGTATTTTCATTTTTAGTAAATGATTTATTTTCCAAAAATCTAGGCTGGATGGTTGTATGTCTGTACTACTTTAAAAGTGACTGGTTTAATTACATTACTGAAGTGATAAGTTTTATGTTGCTGTTTAAAACCTTTACAAGATCTGTGGTAATTATATAGTGCTTAATTACATATGGATTGATGAAAGTAAATTGTCAGTGAAAAAGTTTCACTGTCTTCATATATGAACTAGTAGTCTCCCCAGTTCATATTAATTATATGGCATCTCTATTACTTTTTATTTTATTTACACCTTTTTCATAAACTAATTTTGCTTTAGTTAATTGTGTCCAGTGAGTAATAGTACAAAGCCATGTGAACACATCTTTCATGAACTAACCTGTCTGAAACATTTTAATACAGGCGATAAAGTATCTTTTGAATTAGTATTGGCATTATGTACAACTCTTTATTTTACTTGTAATCCTTTCTTAGTACATATACCTATATTATTGGAATACATGTAAAAATTCACTTGTACAGTTTGCAAAGCAGCACTGTATTCTTGGAAGTTAGATTCGGTCATCAAGTGGACAGCAAATGAATTATGGAATTTTCTCCCATGTTACCTAATATTTTTCTTCTTTTGTTTTAGCACGCTTCCTGGGCTGTTACAGTCAATGGACTTATCAACACTGAAATGTTTTCCTCCTGGCCAGCCAGAAAAATTTTCTGCATTTTTGGATAAAGTTCTTGGATTACAAAAATGAACACTAAACTCACAACACTTTAAAAACACCCCCAAATCTAACCTTTGGGATGTGATTAAATCAAATGAACATATAATATATATTTACAGAGAAATATAAATTAATAAACTTCCTACACCTGTAGAACTTATAGAATATCTTATGATGTGAAATTTTGCATTTGGGTTCAAATCCTGTATGCAATTTAGTAAATTTACTAGATTTTCCCTAATGTTCCTATTTTAGTACAATGGTAATATAATGTACATTCATACATTTTATCCTAGAATCCCAAATAACATTTGGAATTGTGGGGCGGGGGAGTCAATGAGATTTAAAACTTTAAGATGAATTGCTTTGGCAAGAACTATAAATGTAGTCAGCTTGTTTTCTTATAAAATAAAAATGAAACAATTTTTTTTTTTTTATGTGGGTCAGCATCTTTAGCTTCATAATCCAAGGAATTGAATTAAAAAAAAGCAAGAATGAGAGATTGTGTGCTGAGAAATAAAGAAAGGGCTTCAGAAAGTTCGTGGAAAATGGAATTGAAAAATAATGTAATTTTTCCATGAACTTTTTTGAGGCACCCTGGTTATAAAGGCAAAATAGTTTCCTAAAAAAGATTATGAAGGCAGTTTTTTGTTGTGCTTCTGGAGAAATTATTATCCTGCAGAAAAGAGTGGAGTGGATGTGTTCACTTTTTTCTCTCTGAGATGTAAATAGAAAGTAGCATAATCATGCCCAAAGTCAAAGCATCAGTGATTTGAGAAGAAGAAATCAAAAGTACTTAGCATTTGCTGTTAATGTCTAAGGACCCCCTCCCCAATTGGTATTGAAATATTACTCTAACATCATAGAGAAATGACAATTTATGTACTTAAATTGTTTTACCAAATAAGTAAATTATTTGGTATGGATAATGGCTTAAATATGTGATTATAAACTTAACAGAATAACTGAGGATAGGTACATTATGGAATGCTTTTTGATTAAAGTAAACCATTTTGAGACCTTTAAAATATATGAGAGATTATCTCTAAGTGTCTGGTTCTCTGGTAGAAAGTTTATTTATGAAAATAGAACATTCATTAGAAGGACCTACATTCCATTATATTACTATCCCAATATGGTGAATGTTTAACACATTTTACTTGGGATGTATTATATAATGTTTGTAGATTTATTTTACTGATTGTGTTGTACTTAGGCTAATAATAAAATACGTTCTTACTAGTGGTAGAAGGTGGTGGCAGAGGAGTGCTCTGGGTAGCAGGAGGAAGCCAACTTGGATTAAAATTTTGCTGAGAATAATCTGAAAAGTGAGTAATTTGTGCATAGTTGAGAATTCACAGAGCCATAATCATAATTGTATAATAACCTAGATTTCATTTGGTGGAGGGTTAAACCAGTGGTGTCAATTGTGTGTAGTAACATCTCTGACTACACCTTTATGAACGTTTGTATTGTGGGGATCTAAATCAAAAGATACTTAAGAATCATTTTGAATTGGCAGGAATCCTCGAGATTATATGTAATATAAATTCAATGTTTTTTTTAGATGAGGAAGGAGGTTAGAAGTTCAGATTTTCCCAAAATAAGTTTTTGGCAGAGTTGCCACTAGAAAGAACTCTTTACTTCTATTCATGTGCTTTAAAATATTTAAAAAACATTTTTAAGTCATACCATAATATAGTAAGCGTATTGATTTGTTACAATTGTTTGCCTAGTATTTAGTTTATTACTATAATTCCTTTAAAGGATAATTTTGTTTATTTTCAAAATTTGTTTAATTCACTTCATTTGATGTGTTTTCCTTTGATATATGACAACCCATTTGCTACCTTACCTAGAACATACAACCAAACTTAGAAAACTGTGGTTCCTTAGTTACTTGAAATCTAGCAAAATGCTATGAGTAAGATAGATAAGATTCAATGAATGAAAACTTCAAGATATAGAATTGTAGAATTTTAGAATTAGGAGAGAATTTAAAGAATATCTAGTTTTACTAATTTTATGAATAAGGAAAAACTAAAATAAATTAGTTGCCAAGTTCACCTTTTATTTAGTCTTTTATGAAAAATGGTAATCAAAATTTTATTTAAAAGATTGGCTCAATAAAGTTAAATGGTTTGGTTTCATTACACGCTTGCTAACAAGCTTCAGGTTCTTAAAATCATGAAATAAATGGAATGCCATTTATTTAGCAGTTTCCTATTAGGGAGTCAGGAAGCAAAATAGAAGGTTTAGTATTTGGGGAAATTGACTGTATAGGTTCAGGGATGGGCTGATAAAAAGGCAATAGTTCATAGTGATGTAGTAGTTGAAAAGTGATGTAAGATTATAGGATGACTTTGGAAGGTTAGCATTTTAGATGATGGTGTGCTTATAGTTGAGAGGCAAGATAAGCTGGAAGGATTTGGTGTTAAAATAGTACAACCAGTTAACTTGATGTAGGGCTTGGGAACATTTAAAGATAATCCATGTCTAAAAGAATGATTTGTAGATACCTTTGAGTACTTATTTTTATATACTTTTAAAGGCAAATGATACAGGACAATAAAAAACGTTCTGTACTATGGGAGTTTTAGAAAGTTTTGTGAGACTGAAATAATGAGTAGTAGTAATGTTAGCGTGTTTTTTTCTTGTCTCTTTATTAGGGTGGTGGTTGTTAAGAGCCATCCAGTCGGTTTCAACCTATAGCAGTCCTATATTGGGTTTCTGAGGAGTGGCTGGTGAGCTTGAACCACCCACTTTGTGGTTCAAAGTGACCTTGCAGTCCAATGCATTAACCCACAGTGCCACACACACCAGGACTCCCTTTATTATGGTTTGTGGGAGAAAGATGTGGCAGTCTGCTTCTGTAAAGATTTATGGCCTTGGAAACCCTATGAGTCAGTTCTCTTCTATGTGGTTGCTTTGAGTTGGAATTTACCTAAGTGGATTTGGTTGTGATCGTCATGGTAGTGTGGTGCTGTGGACTAATGTGTCAGATTACAAAGCCATTTGAACTGCAATGTCGGTGGTTCAAGCTCATCAACTGCTCCTTGGAAACCCTATACAGGGTCGCTATGGGTCGGAATCGACTCAACAGCACTTAACAACAACAACATCATGGTGTAGGAGTCCTGGTGTAGCATTGTAGGATAAGCACTGAACTGCTTAACCACAAGGTCACAGTTTAGCCGCACCAGCTGCTCCATGGAAACCCTATACAGGTTCACGATTTCAGAACCAACTTGACAGCACTTAACAACAGTTAAGTACAAGCGCCTTGTAATCCCTGTGGTTTGGTTAAAACATTTTCAGAGATATAAAATTTTACATAAGTCTGAAAAATGAAATTATCTGGACAGATGATTTGAAGTCAATTTTTGGGAAAGATATAGTAATCAATTTTTTGTACTACAACTGTTGTTGTTATTAAGTGCTATTGAGTTGATTCCAACTCATAACGACCATGTATAGGGTTTCCAAGGAGTTGTTAATGGGCTTGAATCACCACCTTGAGGTTCAAATTGACTTTGTGGTCTAGTGCTTATCCTCTAGTGCCATACCAGTACTACAACTAGTACCATTATTTTCACAGGGAACAGGTAGTGAAAGGAGTCCTGGTGTAGTGCTGTGGGTTAATGCACTGGACTTGAAAGTTGTTTGAACTGCAAGATCAGTGGTTCAAGCTCACCAGCCGCTCCGCAGAAACCCTATACAGGGTCACTATGGGTTGGAAATGACTTGACGGTACTAAACAGCAACAAAGTGGTGAAAAGTAACTGACAGTTAAGTTTTAACACATGATGAATGCTTTATATGTACCAGATACTAGTCTAAGTATTTTATGTGAATGAAATTAATCTCAATGAAGTAGTTACTATTGACCCATCTTGAAAATGAGGAAAGTCAATTTAGGATATAATCTGATAAAGGAGTTCTATGCCACTTAAAGACACAAGTTGCCCTGGTGGCAAAGTGAGTTAAGTATTGGACTACTAACCTACTAGCCTCTCTGTAGGAGAGAGATGAGGCTGTCAGCTTCCATAGATTGTTGTTGTTGTTAAGTGCCATCGCATCGATTCCGACCCATAGTGACCCTGTGTAGAGTTTCCAAGGAGTAGCTGGTGAGCTTGAACCACCGACCTTGCAGTTCAAACGACTTTGCAGTTTGATGCATTTGCCCACAGTGCCACACCAGGACAACTCCATAAAGATTACAATATTGGAAATCCTAAGGAGCAGTTCTACTCTGTTGTATAGGGTTGCTATGAGTCAGAATAGATTCAATGACGGTGCATTTTAAAGGTAAAAGAAATGATCTGGAAGATTTAATTGGGACACTGAAAAATAGTATATTGTCATTATTTATGAGGATAAACTAAAAAGTATTGCTACTAGGGTTTCAATTTATGTATGCATAGGTTTATTCCAAAGAAAATGTATAAGCATGTCTCTGATCAGTGGATGGCTACAGCTAAGTTTTCATACAAGGGTGAAGTCAAAATCTGTTACTACAAAATGATCTCTATCTTAAACAAAATACTACTAAAATTGTGACGCTCTTAATTCTCAACATATACTCCATCTAGGTCTATACGTATACTTCTGAAGGTGGTATTTACATGTTTGGTAAGGTGGAGGATCAGAGAAAAAGAGGAAGACCCCCAACGAGATGGATTATCTGTAGCCATCTACTGATCAGAGGCATGTTTATACATGTGTAGCAACAGTAGTGAGGTTGGCCCAGGATCATGTAGTGTTTTGTTTATAGGGTGCATAAGGTCGTTATGAGTTGGTACCGACTTGATGGCACCTAACAACACTTCTGTAGGAGTCCTGGTATGGTGCTCTGGGTTAATGTGCTGGACTACAAAGTCATTTGAGCTGCAAGATTGGTGGTTCAAGCTCACCAACCGCTCCTCAGAAACCCCGTAGAGTGTCGCTATGAGTCGGAACTGACTCAGTGGCACTTAACCACAACAACACTTCCATGAGAGTCCTGGTGTGGTGCTGCAGGTTAATGCACTGGACTGCAAGGTCACTAGAACCATAAGGTCAGTCAGTGCCAGCCGCTCCTTGATAACTATGCAGGGTCTCTGAGTCAGAACCCACTCGACAGCACTTAACAACAACAGCAACAACCCTTCCATGATTCCTGCTGTGGCACTGTAGGATTAGTACTGGACTGCAAACCACAAAGTCAGCATTTCAAACTCACCAGCTGCTCCTCAGGAACCCTGTACAGTGTTGCTATGAGTAGGAACTAACTCGACGACACTTAACAACAACCATTCCATGAGGAATTCTATTTTCTTCTATTTATACTCTGTGAAACTGACATTTTTGGCATATTTGGATTCAAATCTTGTTCCTTTTAAAAGCTCTTTGAGTTTGGGGAACAAAAAGTTTGAAGGGTCACAAGACCTGTAGGATGGATGGGGTAAGGTTTCCCAGCAAAATTCTCGTAGGGCCCTTGCTACCCTTGAAGAAGGAACAGATATATTGTGATGGGGGGAAAAATTCCTTGACTCAAATTTCCTGGCCCTTTTCCTTGCCAATGCAGTTTGCAATTTTCTTAAAATCTCCTAATGTTAAGTGCCATCGAGTTGGTTCCGACCCATAGCGACCCTGTATAGGGTTTCTGAGGAGCAGCTGGTGAGCTTGAACTGCCAACCTTGCAGTTCAAACGACTTTGCAGTCTGGCACATTAACCCACAGCACCACACCAAAATCTCCTAATAAGTCTCCATGATTGCCCTGTGTTCTTTGAGAAAATCTATCAAGATTACCCCTTTAGAATTCCAAAAACTGGTTACTATAACCTAAGCTGAACTGTCTACTTTGAATTTAACTGCTCGGGAAGATCCCCTCTGAAGCCACTAGATTGATTGGATCCTTTATCTAAAGGCATCCTACTGAGACTAGGGCAAACGTATTATTGAGAGAACTTGTTTGTAGCCATCCACTGAACACAGAAACATGTTTAAACACATACTATTTAGAATAAACCAGTGCATGTATGGACTGTAATACTAGTAGTGATGCTTCTTGACTTGCCCTCATGGGACAGTAAACCAAAAACCCACTGCCATTGAGTCATTTGAGACTCATAGCTACTCTTTAGGACTGAGTAGAATGGCTCCGTAGGGTTTCCAAAACAGTAAATTTTACAGGAGCGTACAACCTCATCTACAGAGTGACTGGTGAGTTTGAACCACCAACCTAAAGGTTAGTAGGCAAATGCTTAACCCATTGTGCCGCCAGGGCTCATGTTATAGGACAGTGTTGTTTTAGGGCCATGGAGTCGGTTTCAATTCATAGAGACCCTGTAGAGTGTTTCCAAAGTGCAACTGGTGGGTTTGAACTATGGTCCTTGGGCCAAGTTCAAACAACTGGGATCCAGTGTTTATTGTATAGCACCACAATTATTGCTGTTGTTAAGGGCCGTTGAGTTGGTTCTACCCCACAGCAACCCTGTATAGGGCTTCCGAGGAGCAACTGGTGAGCTTGAACTGTCAACTTTGCAGTTCAAACAGCTTTGCAGTCTGGTGTATTAACCCACAGTGCCATACCAAGACTCCACAGTGCCTCAGTAGGACATAATATTTAAAATAGAACTATCTCATATTCAAATTGTATGATAACTAACGGCAAGTATATAAACTATTAGAGCTCTTTCATTGCTATTTAAAAGCATACTATTTGCTGCTTATGGAATCAGTGGGGAGTAACTCCTCAGCTGGAAGTATTTGTGTCCTAGAGTTCTATTTTTGTTCTATTATGTGTATCATTTCTTGGCATTTTTATTATTTCCAGAGCTGCTACTACTGATGACTCCCCTACCTATAACTCTGAACTTGAACCCACCAGCCGCTCAGAAACCCTATATAGGGTTGCTATGAGTCAGAACCTACTCAATGGCACATAGCAAAAATTGGTTATAGGCACGCTGGTGGCACTGTAGGATAAGCACTGGACTTCTAACTACAAGGTCAGCAGTTTGAGCTTACCAGCCATTCCGCTGGAGAAAAGTGAGACTTTCTGCTCCTGTAATGATTTATAGCCTCAGAAACTACAAGTCACTATGAGTCATAACTGACTTGATGATGCCTAACAACAATTGGTCGGTCATGTTTGTCTGTTTATTTTGTAAGCACCTCAAACTCAATATGCCGTCCCTCAAATTGACGTTTCTCCTTTTCATCCTTCTGTGATTCTTATCCCCATTAAAAGTATCATCATCTCTCTAGTCAGTCTGCCAGGGGTTAACTCATTCCTAGCACTCATATCTGATTAATTACAAAGTCCTCCTCTCTGGTATATTTCCTAAGTTTCTCAAGCCCACTTATTTAGTCATTCATTAAACTTCTAACGTAAAGGCTTAATGAAAATCTACTCTTCTACTATCACAACTCAAGACATGATTCCTGCCCTAGAAGGACCTCTTACAGTCCAGACTGGGAGGAACTATGTTTTACTCATTCTTGAGTCCTCTGCCTGAAACACAGTATGCTTTCCATAAATGATGAATGTACTTTTATAACTAATACATCTTTTCTAATGTTGATAAGTATTAGATACTGGTTCTAAGAACATTGTCATCTTATACACATTTATTTCATACTGACTTTGACTTGACTCTATAGTATCTATGATGTCTCATAGTGATGACTCATTTTACAGTGAAATTTATAGGCTTTAAAAAGTTCGTAGAAAATAGAATTAAAAGGTAATGGAAGTTCTTCATGAACTTTTTGAAGCCCATATAACACTGGTTGTGATTTATAAGAAGGACTAAAAGGAATGTTTTTCATAATAATTATTTTCAGATATACCCTATGTTAGGCTCTTTAGTGGTAATCAGTGAGGCAATACAATATTGTAACTGTTTTTCCTATGCAATGTCTTAATGGTATGGCAGTCTGTTGCAAAATTTGCATAATGTTAAAAGTCAGAGATAGATAAAAACCAGCTGCTATAATGTGTTTTCTAGGTGGCACAGCAGATTAAGCATTGTTCTGCTTACTATAAGGTTAGCAGTTAAAACCCACCAGCCACTCCATAGGAGGAAGATGAAAGTGGCTGCTCCCATACAGACTTAGCAGTCTTGGAAACCCTAAGGAGCCGTTTTTAGTCTTAACTATGAGTCAGAATCAACTCAATGGCAGTGGATTATATATAGTGTTGTCCAGTAAAAGAGTACATGGAAAAAGGATAAGCACCAAATGACTTTTTTTACTCAGTGGTTAATTTCACATATGAATAGTATATCTTGTATAGTTTTATATTTTTTATAAGTGACTAGTCAAAAAGTAGAAACATTAGTTAGCTTTAAACAAATGTAAAGTATGTGCTTCTTAAATTGATGTTAATTTTTAGGAGAAGTTTGTGAAGGAATTTTTTTTTTAATCATTACAAATCATCTGTTTTGATATTTCACTTTTAAATCTGTATTACATTTATGTTGGTTTAAAACCACATCCTGACCATAAGTGTGTATTTTGACTGTCATTCTATTGTAGTTTTCAGCATGATTTCATGTTATATGCTGTAAGGTAAAGATTAAGGAGCTCTGGTAGCATAGTGATTACGAATCGGGTTGCGAACCTCAGGGTCAGTAGTTCGAAACTACCACTGTTCCGCGGGAGAAAGATGAGGCCTTCTGCTCCCATAAAGATTTATAGCCTCGGAAACCCTGTACAGGGTTGCTATGAGTTGGAACTGACTCCACGGCACATAACAACAACAACAAGGTAAAGGTTAGAGAGCATGATGGCTCCATATCATAAACACGAGACTACGAACCACAAGGTCAATGGTTTGAGCCCACCAACCGCTCTGGGAGAAAGATGAGGCTTTCTGTTCCCACAAAGTTTTATTGCTTCGGACATTCTATACAGAGTTACTGAGTTGGAAACCAACTAACATCACTTAACAACCAGAAGGCAAAGGTTCTTAAACTGTTGGTTATGCTG